TGCATTAGATCTGTTGAGGAAACTGAGGAGAACATCAGCCACAGAAGAACCACATCACAGTCATTCTCCACCCCAGGACCTAAAGAATGAGGATCAGATGTGGGATTTCCAATACCTGGGATTGTTACAGAAGCTCACGTATAGTAGGTCTGGGATTGCTGTACAAAACTGAAGCAAGTGGTGTCCTGGGAGAATTAGAAAAGTCATTTCAAAAGTACTGAAAAATGAAAGATTGGAGGGGCTTCATTTCACTTTAACTACTATTTTTTTATTTATTGAGTTTATTGGTACAAGTTAGGTATATATTATGATCACATTCATCTTAGGGAATCTGTACCTGTTCATGACATATCTTGGTTCTTATTTTTTCCCACTCCCCTGCCATCTCTTCCAACCCTCAACATTCCCTATTTACAAAGACATTGTTTCTGTTTTTTCTTCTGTTCTAATATTTTTTCTTTCCCTTCTTTTCCATTCTCCCACTCCTCGCTACTTCCCCTTTCCCTTTGAGCCTTTGCTTCCTATTTCACATTATCTATTATACATTTTAGTCTTCATTTACACTTCAATTCTCACAGCAGAGAAACATACGGTACTTACATGTGTGTCCCATTTATTTCACTTAAGAGTATGGTCTTGAGATGCATCCATTTAGCTATAGTTGACTCCAGTTTAACTTTCTTTATATCAATTAATTATTCCATTCTATAAAAGATGAAATTAACAGGATACCAGTAGTTTGTGGGAAAAAAAACTGAAATAGAAATATATACATTCACTAGATATCAAAATAATTTATTGTATGCATGTTTTCTATCCTGAGTTCTGGATTAGAGCCCATATTGTAGATCTGATGGCTGCTCTGCATTCTCCTCATAGCATCCTCTGATCACTTTAACCTCTGACTCTACAGAAACCACAGCAGGTGGGAAGACATGGAAAACCTCACTGTCTTCACAGAATTCTGCCTCATGGATGTCAAAATCTCCCAGGAGCTCCAGGTTCTGCAAGGTGTGCTGTTCTTAGTGATTTATCTGGGAGCACTAACAGAGAATCTTGTGAATGTCACTGTCATTGTGACAGACACATGTCTCCACTCACCCATGTACATTTTTATCAGCAATGTGGCCCTCATAGACCTTGGCAGTATCTCAGTTGTTGTTTCTGGAGCTGTAGTGAATTCTATGACAGACAGTAAGACCATATCCCTGACACAGTGTGCTGCACAAATTTTCCTGTTCACACTGTGTGTAGCAGTGGAAATTGTCTTCCTGTTGGTCATGTCCTATGACCGCTACATGGCCATTTCCCACCCTCTGCACTATGGGCTCATTATCACCCCTAGTCTGTGCTCCCAGGCCATGGCTGGCTCCTGGGCCTCTGGTCTAGTCTACTCTGCTATCCACATAGGAGCTCTTTTCAGGCTTCCCTTCACCAAGACCAATGTTATCTACCAATACTTCTGTGAAATTCCTCAAATTCTGAGGATTTCATCTTCAGCTGTTCAGTTTTCTGAATTTGTACTCCTTGCTGTAAGTGTTTGCATTGTCTCAGTGTATTCTGCATTTATGTTTGTGTCATATGTTAAAATAATTTTAACTGTGCTTAAGATGCATTCTGTGGAAGCCCGTAACAAAGCCATGTCCACCTGTTCCCCACAGCTGGCCATTCTCCTTTTGTTTCTCATTTCTGGGTGTGTGACTCTCTTGGGTCCTATTTCAAACGAACCATCATTTAAGAATCTGCTGACTGCCATGTTCTACACCATGGTGCCCCCATTCATGAACCCCATTGTCTACTGTCTATGCAACAGGGAGATCAATGCTGCACTGAGAAGAATGTTCAGTAGTTGACCTGAGTTCCCACTCAAGGGTTTTCTTGACTAAAACAAAAATCTCAACTCTCATTTCAAGATGTTTAATTCACATTTGATGTATATTCTTGAATTAGGATCTACACCTGTGGATTATCTCATTGTAGTTGTCTGTATATTTTTGTTTTCTGTACTTGTTATGATTGAGTACAAGTCTATGTCTCAAATATATTGTGCAGTTCTTGTGTATCTTATACAAGTAACCCGAAATACTACACACATTGTATATATTCGTAAAATGTTTTGCAAATATTTAAGATCATTGGAGAGAAAAATATTCTGACAATGTGAAGAGCAGGGCATATGTTATGTGTTCCCCCTTAACAGACACCTATGCTGTTGAGAGAACTTCAGGTGCTGGATCTGACCAACCTGGAGAAGTGCATTCAGTGGTCCTATGAGAAGACCCTTCTGTCTGAACTGTGCTCTTTGCACTCACTCTTCCACTCAGATTAGAATAAGTAACACTATATTTAGACAGAGGGACAACTCAGGCCTGAAGATAAAATGGGGTGATCAACACTATGATCCTTGCCAGCCCCTTTGCTGCATCTCACAAAATCCTTTCCTCCTTCAGTGAAAATTAAGACACAAAAAAGCTGACTTTCCAAAAGATTGTAATTGGAAATGTTGGTTTCTCCCTGTAATCCAGATGAAAACATGCAGGTCATGCCTGATCCATTGAAACTCTGTGTGCCATGAAGAGCATGAATCAGAGTGATGCATGGAGAAATACAGAAAAATAACTGCTACTGGAATTTCCCTGGAGAGCAACAGATAGTGCCATACAGATTGATTCACTCAAAATGAGTTGTCTTATTTTGCTCACTCTCAAGACACAACCTTAATCCTGGTGGATAAAACACATATTAACAACAATTTTTTGTCTCAGAACTGAATCCCAAAATCTCCTGTTTCATCTAAAGGCCCTATCTAGGAAAACCTCAGCATAGAGGCACTGATGCCCATTTAGTCCCAGTCCAGCCCTGGAGCAACAGGTGCATCAGGCTCCCTGCATCACCATACTAATTCTTCCTGGCCGAAGCAAGTGTGTTTGGCACTATGGACCTCTTGTCATCCAGAGCTCACATCCTGGGGAAGGTCTGGATGGGACTCACCCTCCTCTGATGCCTGAGATACCTCAATTCTCATTTTTTCATCACTAAGGAGGCTACATCTGTTCTCCAGCTTTATCTATGTATAGGTGAGAACAAAAATTGTGAGTGTAAGGTGCAAATCGTGATATGATTTTGGTATTCATTGAAATATTTGCCCCAACAAAGGTAATATGTCCACAGGTCTTTTCAAAATACATGCCTACCTAGGTCACCAGCATAACTGTTTTCAAAGAAAAACAATCACTCTCTGAATCATATCTAAATAATAGTCTTACAAAGGTACAGGGTTAACATTTCTGAAGCTTTGAGTGTGTTTTTATGACACTATTTTGCCATATTGTTTATTTCTATTTAATTTTGTATGTAAAGTTTCTGTCCAGGTTTATTTTTCTGTAGATATTTGAATCAACAAATAGGCTGATTTTTACTTTCCATGGTTAACTGATAAATTTCACTGTGGTTCTCCTTTGTTTTGCTTTACCTAGAACACATTATTTTATAAGAAGACATAAAATTGCATAGTTTTTTTTTGGATATTTTTAGGTAGTACACTATTACCAGTTAGACTTTTTCTATTTTGAAACTCAAGTAATTTTCCTGGGTATTTGTTTATTTAGTTACTGACAACAATTGCATGTATTCATGGGATGCAGGGAGATTCTGTAATATAATTTGTACAAAGTGGATTGTTTAAATATGATGACTTAACTCTATCACTTTTTACACTTATTTTGGGTGTGAAACATTTGAGATCTACTGTTTTTAACATTTGAAAAATACATAATGCATTACTACTATGGTCACACTTGTATGCAAACACGTCCCTCAAGTTTGTTCTTTCTATTTAACTGAAATGTTGTATATGTTGATCAATATTTACCTATGACCCATCAACCCTTCTGCCTTTTTTTTTGAATATATACAAATACTTTTATTTTTGTCTTTAAATATAATACAGATACATATTTGAGTGGGTAGACTGCTCAAGTCCAGTAAAGGAAAGGTTACAAAAGATACATATGAAATAGTCACATAGCATGGTAGAAACAACAACCTTTCTTAGAGAATAACCACATTCCATACAAATGAGAGCGTTGTGAAAAGGGGTTTAAAGCTCAAAATTCTACAACAGTACTGAGGTATAATAATTGAGAATAGGAAGTCTTTCAGGCTCTTCTTTTGTCCCATAATCACTGAAGTCTTATCCTTTTCTTAGGTGGCCCTTTAGGGCTCAGTGTCTGTTGGACATTCTTTGTGGTCTCTTTCTCCTCAGATTTTACAGTTTCTGGTGTTGGTTCTGCCTCTTTCTTTGTTTGATCCACTGGGACAGGCTTTTCTCCAAATTTTTGCTGCACAAATTTAGGTGGAATTTTTTGTCTAAGTTCTACAAGTAAAACATCCATGCACTGTCTCTGAAAAATAGAGCTTGGTTCTTCTTTTCTTTTAGCTTTTGGTTTGACTTTATCTTGCTCTTCATGATCTTTGAAGTGCCACCAATACCCTTTGGAAGGATGCTATCGACAATAAGACATAGCTTCATCAAAAGTTGACTGAATGCCATGCACTGCAGTAAGCACTCTGGAGTTTATAACTGATCCCAAGTCTGGTACCTGATAAATCACCCCAGCAATAATATAGTAATCAGCAAGAGGGATAACTTGAGCAGGGGACTGTCACTGTTGCTTTTGAATGATGAAAAGAATTGGCTCTTTCTGAAAAGTAATCCAGGACACTACCACTGTTTAAAATGGAGATCCAAGAGGTGTCAACCCAAGAGATTCCCAGCAGATTATCTCTGATATCCACTGTAGCCATAATTCTGAAATCGAATTGTTTTTTTTTTTTTTTTTTTTTTTTTTGTCCTTTGTGCACAAGGCTTTATTGTGAGTTTCACGAGCTGGTCCCTCAGGGCTTGCAAGGACCTAGGATGGAAGCTGTGGGGAGATTCTCAGCATGCTGGGGCTGGCTGAGTGGGGCAGGGGCTCTGCAACGAGGCCTTGCTGGGGCAGTGGTTGGGGTGCTCACTCCTTGGAGGCCATGTGGACCATGAGGTGCACCACTCTGTTGCTGTAGCCAAACTCATTGTCGTACCAGGAAATGAGCTTGACAAAGTGGTCATTGAGGGCGATGCCAGCCCCAGCATCAAAGGTGGAAGAGTGGGTGTCACTGTTGAAGTTGCAGGAGACAACCTCGTCCTCAATGTAGCCCAGGATACCCTTCAGGGGGCCCTCTGATGCCTGCTTCACCACCTTCTTGATGTCATCATATTTGGCCACTTTCTCCAGGTGGCAGGACAGGTCCACCACCGACATGTTGGGCGTGGGCACATGGAAGGCCTTGCTGCTGAGCTTCCCGTTCAGCTCTGGAATGACCTTGACCACGGCCTTGGCTGCACCGGTGGACATGGGGATGATGTTCTGGGCAGCCCCACGGCCATCACGCCATAGCTTCCCCAAGGGACCATCCACTGTCTTCTGGGTGGTGGTGATGGCATGGATTGTGGTCATGAGCCCCTCCACGATGCCAAAGTTGTCATGGATGACCTTGGTCAGGGGCACCAAGCAGTTGGTGGTGCAGGAAGCATTGCTGACAATCTTGAGGGAGTTGTCGTACTTCTCATGGTTCACGCCCATCACAAACATGGAGGCATAAGCAGATGGGGCAGAGATGATAACCCTTTTGGCTCCACCCTTCAGGTGAGCCCCGGCCTTCTCCACAGTGGTGAACATGCCAGTGGACTCCACCATGTACTCAGTGCCAGCATCACCCCACTTGATGTTGGTGGGATCTTACTCCTAGAAGATGGATATGGCCTTTCCATTGATGACTAGCTTCCCATTCTCAGCCTTCATGGTGCCCTGGAACTTGCTGTGGGTGGAGTCATACTGGAACATGTAGACCATGTAGTTGAGGTCAATGAACAGGTCATTGATGGCCATGATATGCACCTTGTCAGAGTTGAAAGCAGCCCTGGTGACCAGGAGGCCAATGCAGCCAAATCCAAATCCATTCACTCTGACTTTCACCATTGTCTCAGGTCGCAGCTGGTGCTGCACAGGAAGAGATGTGGTCAGGGGAGCGCAGGAGCAGAGAGCCATTTTTTTTTTTGTCAAGTGACACTTTTATTGGCTAATATTTTTGGAGACTATTAAGAGCTACATGTGAACAAAGCAGAAAGCAGAAGCCCAGTACTCAAGGCAGGATCTTGGGAGAAGCAACTGGCTGAGTAGGAGGTCAGCAATGGCTGAAGAATCCCTGAGGATGGTTATATTTAAATGGCTTCATCCTACTTGGACCCCTGAAAAGCTGCCAACATGTCTTCTCCTGGGGAAATTCCTTGGGCCCCTCCACACTGTCATCATGGCTCTCAGTCTCCAGATAGACATCTAGGAGCATGCACAGCCACTGCAGCTGGTTGGTCAAGAGCTGGTGGCTGGGCCGGGGCTGCACAGCTCCTTGTAGCACACATTGACCTCACTCTCCATGGCCTGAATGTTGTCATTGTTGCTGTTGGTCTTCTCTCCTTTCCGATTCAGACAGAGCTGGAAAATGGGTGGTATGGAGGAGTAGCCAGGGTTCACCACCACAGCAGCCTGGAGTTTGGCTGTGCCCCTTTCAATAAGTGCCATGTAGTAGAGATTGGTGTCCCCAGCCAGTCCTGCCTCCACAATGTCCTTGGTGAAATGCAGTTCCATATAATCTTCATGGGCAATTGTCACCCACTTCACTAGGTGACAGACAACCTTGGCAGGGAAGAGGTATTGGCAGTCACTGGTAACTGGCACAATGCTGTGTTCCAGGGATGCAAACTGTTTGTGGAGGGCTAGACGGGACTGCACCCTGGTCTTCAGCAGCTTCATCATTGTCTCCATGTGGCTGGCACTCCGTGAATGGTTAGGAATCACCCAATCACCGTACGCTGGGGTTGCTCTTTAGGGAAGTGGAGGCCTCCCAGCTTCTGTACCCACAAATAGGGATGACCTAGGTCAATTACATAGTCTCTCAAAGTCAAAATGCCAACTTTATCAAACTGATACTGATTGGCTGGATTTGGAGGTTTTTTCCCATGATCCCCAGGATACAAACAGCTCAGCACTGAGTCAGGAGAGAGCAAGTCCCCTGCACTGATGGGGGTGATCAGCTCCGTGGCGACTGTCACTTTGGCTTTCACGGTTACAATGTTGAGGTTCATGAGGTAGTAGAAAGTCAGGTGAAGCATGCTATCATCTTTGCATTTCAGGTCAACCATGACGGACAGAGGGTGTCTCTTCAGCATCTCCTTGTGCTTGTCATCCAATTGAACTCCCAGTGTGGGTCACCCCCATTTTTTAGTCTGCTCCTCCTCAGCATCTGAGTCACTCTCGTCATCTTGGGAGTCATCGTCAGGAGGCTTGAACAGAGCCTTGGCTTCATCTACACTGCCTTCAATGGCCACAGACAAGGTCTTATCACAGGCTTGCCCATAGGTGGTGGCCTGTACAAAGAGCACGTAGAGGGGAGGTGGCAGGTGTCTGGCTGTCGCATATTGCTTGTGAGCCTGATCAAATGGCATGAACAGGTACTCCTGCACTGGGAGGGAAGCCTGCATGATGCTATTAAGCCAAGGCTGAAGGCTGCTCAGGTATTCCTTCTTCACCTCAATCTCTTTAAGGATCTTCTCATTGTTGGACAGGCACTCTCAGTACTTCTCTGCCAGTCTTTTCTGCTACTCCAGCTCCCAGTCCAGACATGCCAGGGTCTGCTGGTGAGGGTCTCCCATGGTGACTTCAGCCTTGCTGATGTCTGGTGGAGCCTCTTTGTAAAACTCCTCTAAACTGACCAGATTGATTTCTTCATGCTTTGACTTAAACTCCAGACATTTGGTGATCTCCTTCTGCAGGTGCATCACATCATACAGCAAGTTCTGTAGCTGCAGGTGATAGGCATCAACTTTTTGCTTAGCCTCATGGGTCTGACCTCTTCCTTTCCTCAACCTGATGTGGGCTAATTGGTTAAGCTTCTTTAGAGTCATGAAAGGCACACAGCTCTGGATCCTCCTTTCTTCAATTTCAGTTGCCACATCCTTGCCACCTCTGCTCTTCAGGTCCTGGATCTCAGCCATTACCCTCTGTAGCTCCTGGCATGTATACTTGTACAGCTCATAGTCTCTGCCTGGATCGAACAGGTCCACCTCAGCCTCCTCACTGTAGTATTTACCCTCCTGCCCCATGTCAGATTGATTCCAATTTCCTTCAGCTGGATCCCCATCACTTTGGATCACTTTGGGCTTCGGGTTTTTGCTTGATTCTGATGACATGGTTGTTCCTCACCACTCCTCGAACTAATCCGACCCAGTGAACTACTTCTGGCAGCAGGGCAACCATGAAGCACGTGCCACAGAGAAACAGAAGGAAAAAGTGGCCGGCCGGAAGTGAGGCTCGGCTGTCTGTAGTGAGTTGGAGAGCGCTTTATCCCACAAGAACCACAGGGTAATGTGGGAAACAAGGAAGCAACGGGTTTCCTGGTACCATGGATTGAACTTGGGTCCTTGTGCTTGTGCAGCAGGCGGCGAAACCACTGAGCAAAATCCCCGGATCTGATAACATTAATTTTACTCTATAGATCTATGAATTCAATGTTGTTGGATTCTACACATCAGTGAATCATGGAGTGTTTGTCTTTCTCAGCCTGGGTGATTTCCTGTAGCAGAGTCCTCCAGGAGCAGCCACGTTGGTACACAGGAAAAGCCCTTCACCATTTCACCTCATTACCTTTACCCCTCATCTGATGAGGGAACCTAGGTTGCTTCTGATCTTAGCTATGTGAACAGTGCCACAATGAGGAGGCAGTGCAGACTTTCTTTCAGGAGATTGATTTCAGTGCTTTTGGAAACACACCCAGGGATGGGATTCTTCTATTATGTAGTAACAGTTTTAAGGTTTTATGTTTTTATGAGCTGAGGTATCTTCATGCTGTTCTCCATGCTGTTTGTGCTAATTCGCAACAGGGCCCAGGGTGATTTTACTCTGCACCTCACCCACACTGTCACCCATTGGTTTTGTGGCAATAGACATACTAACTAATGTGAGGTGCAGTCTCTTCCTTGTTTTAATTGCATTTCCTGATGACTGATGGTAATGAGACTTTTACATGTATTTATTGGTGACTTTTTGTCTTTTTTTGAGAAATGTCTAAGTGCTCAGCCCATTCTTGGATTGTATTATTTGTTTTCTTCATATTGAGTTGTTTCAGTCTCTCATATATTTACATATTACTCAAATATCAGTATATTTTTGCCAATATTTTCTCCCTGTCTATGAGTTATCTCTTCACTCTGTAAATTTTTTTCCAGTGCTGTGAAAAAACTTTTGATTTAGTGCAGTTTCATGGGAATTTCTGTGTCTTTGTGTGATTCACTTTTTTCCAGTGCTTTAGGAGTCCTATAGGAGAGGATTTGCCCAGCTGAATGATGGGGCACAGTTTCCCCCATGTTCTCTTCCAGAGTTACACAGCACAAGGTCCTAGGTGAAGTTAATAGGTTCAGTTTTGTATATGATATTATATGAGGATACTTTTTCATTCTTCTACTCGTGAACATGAAATGTTTCAATATCATTCTTAAAGAGACCATCTTTTCTTTTTCTGTCCTATGTCCTCAACACTTTATACTGGATCAATTAATTTTGAATGAGGGTTTATTTCTGGGCTTTCTCTCCTGAATTATGTACCAACGTGTCTGTCTTTTATGCTACTCTCCGGGTAATTTGATCACAATAAATTTGTAGTGTATTTAAAGGCAAGTAATATGATGAGTCCAGCTCTGTCATTTTTCTTCAATAATTGGCCTTGAATAATTGCAACATTTTATTTTATTGTTACATAGCAATAAACATGTTTTTCATTAAAAATAATGTTGAAATTTTGAAAAGAATTGCACTGAACCTGTAGATAGTTTTGCTATTATAGACATCTTAACAATATGGATTCTTCCAGTCCAGCAACTCAGATACATTTTCATTTATTCATGTCACATACAATTTCTTTTATTGATAGTTTACAGCTTTCAGTATACACATTCTTCACTACTTTGTTTACATTTACATATGAATGTTCTATTTTATGCTATTATTAATAGGATTTATATTTAATTTGTTAAGATAGTTTTTATTAGTGTACAAAAATATTATTGATTTTTTTTCTGTTTATTATATAACTTTACAAAACGTGTTGATTATTTCTACAAGTCTTCTAATGGAGACATTGGAATGTGCTCCATGAGAGTATGTCATCAGCAAACAAAGAATCTCACTTTTTCCTTTCTTTGATTGGATGGCTTTTACTCTGTTTTCCAATATCTTTAGTGGGGTTTCAGTGCTGTCTTGACTGGAAGGGGAAAGTGCACACCCTTCTCTCTCACAAGATCTTGATGAAAACTTTCCAATTTTTCACCATTGACTGGAGGTTTGCTGTGGATTTTCATGTGTGTCTTTGTTGCACTGAGGTACACTCCTCCTATGCCAAACTTATTGAGGGTTTTTATTCTGAAAGTGTGTTGCATTGTGAAATGACTTTCTGAATGTCTTGAGATTATCTATGAATTTTCCTTCCCGGTATAAATTTTGTGTATCAAACATTGTTTTGCATAAATCCACCCACAATTTCTTCCCAAGGGTAAATCCCAGTTGATCATGGTGAACATTGTCTTTAATTCAGTTGGAATTCAGTTTGTTAGTATTTTGTTGAAGACATTTGTATCTATGTTCATGAATGATAGTGTCTGGCATTTATTTTGTTATTGTTGCATTTGTCTTTGATTCAGGATAATGCTTGACAATAAAATGACCTTGAACCTGAACTAGAATCCAAAAGGCAGGCCAGAGAGGGTCTACAGCCCAAGGGATAACAGCCCAGGAGCACCAGACCCAAGAAAAACTCATTCTTATCATAATCTGCAGATCAGTGTCAATTCTACTCTGAAAGTGGCTTCTTCCATGAGGTAGACTAGATTTCAAGGAGAAATTCAGTGCACTGCTCCACGTGTAGCATTGTA